CCCACTCCCACCCCCACAACTCACAACTCACCTGTGTTTTATATGTCAAAGACACACAAGCCCCTCACACCTCTTGCATAACACACGTCACATCAATGTCACCGACAGAGAACTCTAGAACCTTCCTAAACAAGATATCATTCACTTTATCTGTCTATAGCTGAGTGTCAGACGGGAACACAGTAGGTGTTTATGTAGCCTTCCCGGCCTTACTGTTAGGAATTCCTTCAAGCCCTGCTTGTGGCCAGAGAAAGACGAGAGTTGATGAACTCTTCAAGCAGGTAGATATCTAGAAGACACATTGCATGTCCGATCAGCCGAAATGTAAAAGTAAATATATTGTAAAAAAATGTTACAATGCATTCTGAATCATCATATTACAAATCTGAAGCACAAATATATTACACATTTCTTAATATGCATGTTGTTGCCAGCCTTTTTAAAGTTACGGTTAAAGAAAACAATAGAACAATTGTGTCTGAAGAAACGAAACTGCTTCTTTTTAAAATTAAAGTGCCCTAAAACAGCGCGAGTGTCAAGCGTCATTGAATGGCCAGAATACATGTGTGTCCTCAAAGATTTATCCCCAGTCTATGGTGAGATAAAGACGCGTCTTCATTAAATACACTGTTCATGCACGCGGAACTAAATCTCCGGATCCCGCCCTCTCTCCATTACTTTGCCTGTCTTCTATAACCACGGAGGGTACTGCTGTCTTCTAACCACGGAGGGTATTCCTGTCTTCTAACCACGGAGGGTACTGCTGTCTTCTAACCACGGAGGGTATTCCTGTCTCCTAACCACTGAGGTATTCCTCCTGTCTCCTAACCACGGAGGGTATTGCTGTCTTCCCCGATCGCCTTACACAGGGATAGAATAACGACGGAACGTAATGGACATTCCTTTCAGTGCCCTTTTTTCCTGTCCATTTAATTAATTAAAAAAGATTGCTGGCTACGAGTTTTGTTAGTTTCATCTAGCTTTCAGCGCCACCACACCTCCCCTTTTCCCTGTCGCTCTAATCATTGGGCCCTATTTCCACCCGGTTTCTTTTTTGTTTTTATTTTCTCTCTCTTTCTATTCCATAATCTGTCAAGAGGGAGACTGAGTGTCGTAGTTTCCTGTATCAGTCTACGTGCAGTCATAGAATTTGTCACATCAGCCCCGGTGTCCATTCACGCGGGACGAGGAATAATTTGGTCGCATTGAGGACAAGGGGGCTAACCAGGGACTTCGGGGGTTTCCAGAAATCTTGACCTACACCAAAAGTGGGCATTGCTCTACCTATAGGAGAGTTTGATTTCTTTGGTGTGTGTATTTGTTTGGTTATAGAGAAAACTCTCCTTGCCTTTTAAAGAAACTGAACAAGGGGCAAAAACTTTACCTTCGATTTTCTCAAAACAGTATTTTTCAGGATAGCCCCCTTGTGCTTAAAAGCGACCAATTTTGATCGAGAATCTCGGTCTTTCTGCTGAAATGTTGTTTCCTTCTCAGCCCGGTAGGGTCCCGGTGAGCAGGTCCCCAGCCCGTCTCTTAAATGATCTAAATCGTGTCGACGCT